GGACGCATGCGGACGGTCCCACTGGGGGCTTCGGTGGAGCTCCCTATGGGGCCACGAAGCGTTGTACTGGGTGGGTGAAAATACCAAGGGGTGTCCAGGACGCATGCGGACAGTCCCACTGGGGGCTTCGGTGGAGCTCCCTATGGGGCCACGAAGCGCTGTACTGGGTGGGTGAAAATACCAAATCGGGTTTCCGGGACGCATGCGGACGGTCCCATTGGGGGCTTCGGTGGAGCTCCCTATGGGGTTACGAAACGCTGCATTGGGTGGGTGAGAATGCCAAATTGTGTTTCCGGTATGCATGCGGACGGTCCCTCTGAGGCTTTTGGTGGAGCTCCCTATGGGGCCACGGATCACTTGTACTGGGTGGGTGAAAGTACCACATTCATTGGGCTTCCGGGACGCATGCGGACGGTCCCATTGAGGGCTTCGGTGGAGCTCCCTATGGGGCCACGGAACACTTGTACTGGGTAGGTGAAACAATGCCAAGGGGTGTGTAGGACGCATGCGGACGGTCCCACTGGGGCCGTCGGTGGAGCTCCCTATGGGGCCACGAAGCGATGTACTGGAAGTGCGGGACGCATGCGGACGGTAGCACTGGGACCTTCGGTGGAGCTTCCTATGGGGCCACGAAACGGTGTACTGGGTGTGCGGGACGCATGCGGACGGTAGCACTGGGACCTTCGGTGGGGCTCCCCAGGGGGCCACGAAGCGCTAGACTGGGTGGGTGAAATGCAGGGAGGAGGGAGAAGGGGTCCACGAAACGCTGTACTGGGTGTGCGAGACGCATGCGGACAGTAGAACTGTGACCTTCGGTGGGGCTCCCTACGTGGCCACGAAACGCTGTACTGGTTGTGCGGGACGCATGCGGACGGTAGCACTGGGACCTTCGGTGGGGCTCCCAATGGGGCCACAAAACGCTGTGCTGGGTGCGCGGGGCGCATGCAGACAGTAACACTGGGACCTTCGGTGGGACTCCTCATAGGGCGACGAAGCGTTGTAGTGGGTTGGCGAAACGCAGGGGGGAGGGGGGAGGGGGCCACGCAACGCTGTGCTGGGTGCGCGGGACGCATGCGGACGGTAGTATCCTTCGGTGGGGCTCCTTATGGGGCCACGAAGCGTTGTAATAGGTGGGTGGAACGCAGGGAGGGGGGGAGGAGGGAGGAGGGGGAGGAGGAGGAGAGGAGAGGAACGCGGGGACCGTCTCTTCAAAACGAGGACCCAACACCACCGGATGGTTGGGAAAACAACAACGGCATTTAAAGTAGCTTGGCGAAGGGCCCAACCATATGCAGTTGAGAGTACCGCAGTTGTAAATATTGTCATCGGTGGCGCCGAAATGGGTGGCGCGGACGCATGTGGACACCGCCACTGGGGCCTTCGCTGGACCTCCCTGTGGGGCCACGAAACGTGTCAGAGGTGTGCCGAAATGGGTGGCGCGTACGCGTGTGGACACCGCCACTGGGGCCTTCGGTGGGGCTCCCTCTGGGGTCAAGAAACGTGTGAGGGGTGCGCCGACATGGGTGGCGCGGACGCATGTGGACACCGCCACTGGGGCCTTCGGTGGAGCTCCCTCTGGGGCCAAGAAAGGCGTGAGAGGTGTGCCGAAATGGGTGGCGCGGACGCATGTGGACACCGCCATTGGGGCCTTCGCTGGACCTCCCTGTGGGGCCACGAAACGTGTCAGAGGTGTGCCGAAATGGGTGGCGCGTACGCGTGTGGACACCGCCACTGGGGCCTTCGGTGGGGCTCCCTCTGGGGTCAAGAAACGTGTGAGGGGTGCGCCGACATGGGTGGCGCGGACGCATGTGGACACCGCCACTGGGGCCTTCGGTGGAGCTCCCTCTGGGGCCAAGAAAGGCGTGAGAGGTGTGCCGAAATGGGTGGCGCGTACGCGTGTGGACACCGCCACTGGGGCCTTCGGTGGGGCTCCCTATGGGGTCAAGAAACGTGTGAGGGGTGCGCCGACATGGGTGGCGCGGACGCATGTGGACACCGCCATTGGGGCCTTCGGTAGAGCTCCCTGTGGGGCCAAGAAACGCGTGAGAGGTGTGCCGAAATGGGTGGCGCGGACGCATGTGGACACCGCCATTGGGGCCTTCGGTGGAGCTCCCTGTGGGGCCACGAAACGTGTCAGAGGTGCGCCGAAATGGGTGGCGCGGACGCATGTGGACACTGCCGCTGGGGCCTTCGGTGAAGCTCCCTATGGGACCACAAAACGTGTGAGGGGTGCGCCGAGATGGGTGGCGCGGACGCATGTGGACACCGCCACTGGGGCTTTCGGTGGAGCTCCCTATGGGGCCACGAAGCGCGTGAGGGATGCGCCGAAATGGGTGGCGCGGACGCATGTGGACACCGCCATTGGGGCCTTCGGTGGAGCTCCCTGTGGGGCCACGAGAAACGTGTGAGGGGTGCGCCGAAATGGGAAGAGCTCCTTGTGGGGCCACGAAACGTGTGAGGGCTGCGCCGAAATGGGTGGCGCGGACGCATGTGGACACCGCCATTGAGGCTTTCGGTGGAGCTCCCTATGGGGCCACGAAGCATGTTAGGGGTGCGCCGACATGGGTGACGCGGACGCATGTGGACACCGCCACTGGGGCCTTCGGTAGAGCTCCCTGTGGGGCCACGAAACGCGTGAGGGGTGTGCCGAAATGGATGGCGCGGACGCATGTGGACACCGCCACTTGGGCCTTCTGTGGAGCTCCCTATGGGGCCACGAAACGTGTGAGGGGTGTGCCACAATGGGGTGGTGCCGAAATTGATGATGATGATGATGATGATGATGATGATGATGATGATGATGATGATGATGATGATGATGATGATGATGATGATGATGATGATGATGCTGATGATGACGATGACGATGAACGGCGATGACGATGACGATGAGGATGCTGAGGATGAGGATGAGGATGAGGATGAGGATGAGGATGATGATGATGATGATGATGATGATGATGATGATGATGATGATGATGATGATGATGGTGATGGTGATGATGATGATGGTGATGATGATGATGATGATGATGATGATGGTGGTGGTGGTGGTGGTGGTGGTGGTGATGATGATGATGATGATGATGATGATGATGATGGTGATGGGCAGAGGGAGGAGGGGGAGGAGGAGAGGAGCAGGAGAGGAGAGGAACGCGGGGCACCGTCTCTTCGAAACGAGGACCCAACACCAAAGGATGGTTGGGAAAAAATGTTTCGCGCCCAGCGCGGATTTCTCGGATCCGCGCTGGGCACCCTGGCGGCGCCTCCGGCAAGGATCTGGGCCTACTGCATGGGGTCCGAGTGGATGGGGTTTGGAGGATCGCGCCGCACCGCCGATGCGTCGACGACGTGATTCGATGCGGAGCCCGTGCTTCTCCGCGCCGACGTCGCCGATGCATCGCCAGCGTCGCTGATGCATCGCCGATGCATCGCCGACGCATCGCCGATACATTGGCGATGCGTTGGCGATGCGGCGCGACCCTTCGACCCCGTCTGCTCGGACCACATCCAGGAGGCGTCTGCAAGCATCAAGACTTCTGCACTGCGTTAGTGTTTGCGATACGAGGCTGGCCTCGCGGACGAAGGGGCCGTATTCAGGTACGCGTTTTAATTAGTTGTCTTACTTCTCCTCCTCCCTCCACCTCCTCCTCCTCCTCTTCCCTCCTCCTCTTCCCTCTTCTTCCTCCTCCTCCTCCTCTTCCCTCCTCCTCCTCCTCCTCTTCCCTCCTCCTCCTCCTCCTCGCTAGAGGCTTCTCATCGTGATAAACATGAACCACAGAGGAGTCCACAGGGGGGACGCGGAGCCCGAGTCCGCCAGGTCTTGAGGCGGTCCGGCAGCCGTCTCGCGTCAGATTTCGTCACAGCTTACAGTGGGGACTCATGCCAAGAAGTACCCCTTCTTGCCTCCAGGGTGCCCTGCCTCGGTTTCTTGGGTTTCGATGGTCTTTCTATGAAAAGCGTGACGTTCCCACACCAAAAAGTAATGGACGTCCTGGGGTCTCAGGGTTGGGTTCTTGTGGAAGGTTTCTTGTGGACTGGCCTCCACTGAATCCAAGGATCGCGCTCTCGCCTCGACTCGATGCTGGCCGCGTTTTTAGTCTGGGAGGCCTCGATCCCTGGGAACAGATATATGAAGGTGCACCTTGCCTTGCTCTCCCCCCTGTCCCCCTGTAGCAGACCTCCTGCTCCTGGACCTGCGTCTTCGCATTTTCTGCTATCAGGGCGCTATGCTCGGGGGCGGGCCGCTTGGAGGAGATGGACAAGGAGGAAGAGGAGGGTGCAATTTAGGAGGAGTAGGAGGAGGAGGCCCCATTGTCCCCTCTTGCGGACGCCCTCCTCCTCTACCCTGTTATAGTTCGAGCCTCCTCTTCGTCCTCCTCCTTCTCTCATTCTCCTCCCTACACATCCCCCCCTCATCATCCTTCTACCTCCGCCCTCTCCTCATCCCTTCTCCGCCGCTTTCTGCTTCTGCATTCGTCCTCTCTCTTATCTCTACCCCTTCCTTCGGAGTTGCAGGAGGGGGTTCGCCATCAGGCCTCCTGCCGACATCGCCGGGCCGACACCTGCGGGAACAGAGCGCAGCATCGATTGCCGCCTCCCTCCCCGCCGCCATCGTGCAGCTACGCTCGCCGCCAACGCCGCTGCTGGCGAGCAGCCTCTCCGTCTCCTCGACTCGGCGACGAACCCAGGGTTGAGTGAGAAGAGGCGGGCCTTCTCAGAAGGCTCGGAAATTTCCTGGCCTTCCGGGGAGTTTTCTAAGCCTTCCCCGCCGAGACAGACCACCTCTCAGAATGCGCGAGGCCTTCTGAGAAGCCCCGCCGCCTTCTGAGGTGGCCTTCTCCGCCTCACTTCCCCCTCGCTCGCCGCCGATCTGCGTTGACCTCGATGCCCGAGATCCTAGGGCCCAGCTCGGCCTTGGCGGGCTCACCTCCGCCGGCCTCCGCCCCACTCGAGGGGCAGGGACCTCCACGCGCAGTCCCCGCTCGGGTTTCGCCGAGGTGCTCCTCGTGGCCCAGTCGCGCCACCTGGACTTCGGGCATCAGGCCGCTCTAGCCGCAGACCCCCCAACCGCGGACTCCGCCGGCCCCCTCCAACCTCGAGAGGGATGAGAAGGAAGAGGAGGAGGAGGAGGAAGAGGAGGAGGAGCAGGAGGAGGAGGAGGAGGAGGGCGAAGGGGGGAGGAGGGAAAGGGGCATGAGGGGGAGGAGGGAGGAGGAGGAGGGAGGAGGAGGAGGAGGAGGAGGAGGAGGAGGAGGAGGAGGAAGACGAGGACGAGGACGAGGAGGAGGAGGAGGAGGAGGAGGAGGAGGAGGGAGGAAGGAGGAGGGAGGAGGGAGGAGGAGAGGAGGAGGAGGAGGAAGAGGAGGAGGAGGAGGAAGGAGGAGGAGGAGGGCAGGGGAAGGCGGGAGCAGGTGGAGGAGGTGGAGGAAGAGTGGGGAGGAGGAGGAGGAGGAGGAGGAGGAGGTGGAGGAAGGGAACGACAGAAGGGAATGAGGAGGGGTGGGGGGTGGGGGCAATTATGGGAGGGGCGAGGGAGGAAAGGGGGAGGAGGGGGAACAGGAAGGGCGGAGGTGGAGGAGGAGGAGGAGGCGGAGGAAAAAGCGGAGAAGGAGAGCGGAGGGGGGAGGAGGAGCGAAGCGAGGAGGATTAAGCGAGGAGGAAGAGGCAGGAACGCGGAGCGAGGGAGGAGGGTGTCGGGAGGAGGAGGAGGAGGAGGAGGAGGAGGAGGAGGAGGAGGAGAAGGAGGCTCTAGGGCACCAGCTGGCTCCAAGAGGGGCCCTAAAGGGCCCCTTTAGGGCCCTTTTCTTCACCCCCCATCCGGCCCCCCCTTACCACCTGCCCGAATCAAGAGAGGGCACCACTTTTTGAGTTCGGGGTTTCCGAAATCGGCCATGAAATTTTGAGGGCGGCGAGTTTCCATGCCTCAAATACATCCCCAGGACGAAAGTTTTTTCCTCTTGGGCCCGGAACGAAGGTTTGAAGTCCGAAGCAGACGCGTGTGAGATAGCCGCCGTCGGATCCAATGAAGGCCGCGCGGATCCAATTTTGGTTTTGGTGTGTTTCGGTGGATCCGATTTCTGTCCGCGCGGATCCGATTTCGGATTTGCTGGATCCGTGTTCGGTCTTATTTTTCACGGCGGATCCGATTTCTACCCTGTTTTAAGTTTATATAATTAATTTTAAACAGGGAACCGGAAGAAATCGGATCCGCGGACCCCGCAAACCGCCCGTGTTAAGATTCTACGGGGGATGGGGGGTTCGGTAATTAACTCTCCACGATGGGCGTTGCGTCGTCTCGCGCACACCCACCAGCTCCCCGCGCGCGGGTCCCATTCGAAATGAATACATACATCCCTCTCACCCCGGTTGCTGCAAACAGCTCGTCTGGTCGCCGTCCGTTCCGGCGCCGACGTTGTCTTGCGAACTCCTCATGGCCATTTGCACCTCAAGAGGAAAATCTTTCGTCCTGCGTAAGTAAGGAAAACACAGACATAAATGTTTGGCGTGGAGCGACTCCAAAAGTTTGTGTTGATGCCGTTTATTATTCCTCTAATTCAGACGTTCGACGACGACGACGACGATGACGACGACGACGACGACACTTGCCCTCATTCCCCTTCTCCTGGCGAGCCCCCTCGGTTGTTCCATCAGGGGGGGGTCGTTTTGGCCAGAGGCTTCCCCCCTGCAGAGCTCCAGCAGACGCCCGCGCGCGCGCCCATGTCGTCCACGAGCACCAGGTCAGCTCTTGTCCCAGTTGGTGGGTACCTCTGGCCATGGCCCATCAGTTAGCCGCACTTCTGTTCGCCGCTGGTGCCGCTCTGCCATGCTCAGCTCTGCCTCCTCCCCCTTAATTACCCCCTCGCCCCCTCCTGTGTATACAGCATCCCCATTCCGATTGCGCATCACATGCAGTGGAGACCCATGCCAAGAAACACACTGCTTGCCTCCAGGGTGTCATGGGTTTCTTGGGTTTCGATGGGTTTCTGTGGAAGGCGCGACGTTCCCACATTAAGCATTAATGTACCTCCTGGGGTCTCAGGGTTGGGTTTCGTGTGGAAGGTTTCTTTTGGTCGGGCTTCCTATTGTAGTGGACTCTTCTGTGGAGTTCCAGTCGGCCATGGCACGCGGCCGCGGACGTGGAAAAGACATCCCCACACCTGGAAAAGCGATGGGAGGGAGGGGTAGGATGTCAGGTATGGCTCGGGTATAGCCAGGACCCCAGGTAAGGGGACCAGGTTTGTAGGGCCCCGGAGCCCCTAAATTGGCCAGAGTCACTAAACCAGGTCTGCCGTAGCTGGTGTTTGTTCGGGTCGCGGCAGTTCCGGTCAGTGGAACGGGGCGGGGGGGCGTCCCCCGGTACACAGCACTAAACCAGGCCCCACTAAACCCAGTTCTGCCAACGCCCGAGTGGCTCGAGCGCGCCCAGCTTGCCCCCACCCCCTCCTCGCTTCCCCCCTCGCCGACTCCCTCCTCCAACCCAACCCCCCCTGCCCTCGGGCCTGGTGGCTCCAGGGCGGACCTGCCCGGGCAGTCCCGTGCCAGATTGAAGTTTGGCCTGTCCCCCTACAGGGGGAATCTTCAAACATAGACTGGGGACGAGTTTTCCATGATTTGTTTGAAGATTTTGGGGTATCTTTTGAGTGCTTTTTAATTTTTCGTCCAAGAGCCGCCTGTCGGGGGACATGCCCGACCTAATGCCAGGTCATGCCGCCTGCGGCGAGCGGCCGCGACCCCAGGCCGACCCCGATGAAACCAAACGAAGCTCTCGAGCAGTGCTCTCCGTGGCAGCGATCGGGGGGGGGGATCGACTCAGGGGGGAACGCGTCGACTCCCCATGTTGCCAGTGGCCCATTCATCGCCGACTGTGGCCTGGCTCCTCACCCCGCCCACGAACGTTTGGTTCTACCATCGGCGGCATGCCGCCGATCCATCGGCGATGTATCGCCAGTTCCAGGTCGTTGCCCTCACCCCCCCTGAAGCCAGCCCCCTATGCCGACCCTCATCGCTCCCTCCCTTCAGGATGCAACCCCTGGGAGGTTGCATTCAGCAGCTGCGCTGGTATATCCGTGCGTGTCCCCCCCCCCCAAAAAAAACAATCTAATTCCTTTCAGCAGTTCTACCTAGTCCGGCCTGGCCAGGCTGAATTCTGGGCTTTCATGGCCCCCTTCCGTCGGTCGTAGTATAGCACGTAATCGTTCGCATGATAAGCTGAGGAGTTGCCTCCTACCGCCTCCTGTCGACCCTCCCCATCCTTCGAAGAAGAGCGCGTCCGAGGGGCACTTGCCCAATCACAGAGGAGAGCGCCAGCCCGTCCCTGCGGAGCAGCAGCCAGCGCTGCTGGAGCCTGGCCTGGCAGCCCCACGTTGCCCACCCCGCCCAGGACTTGCAGCTCCGCTGTCGGGGGCCTGTCGCCGACCTTTCGGCAACATGTACCGCCAAAATGTTCAGCGCCGCGAGGTTTTCCCGCCCTGCGCCTGTCGTCCTCCCTAGCGCTCACCCTTCTTCTTGTCTTCGTCCTCCTCCTCCTCTCAAGGAGGGGAGTGGAGAGGAGGAAGAGGGGGAGAAGGAGGACTAGCGTAAACCCAAGATGCATCAACGACATTGTAACAAACCTTTCCTCGAAGCTTCCTCTTCACAGGCCCCTACAATGAGTTTTCACAGAGGGCAATGACTGCCCCGTTGGAAGGTACTGCTTGAAATTCTGAGCTTCGCCAGAACACCATTCCTGCAACTTCAACGCTGGGAATCCACTTTACGGTTGTGTCCTTACTCATTCGTGCCAGGGCACCATTCTTGGATTTTCAACACTGCGAATCAATGTAATTGCTGCGCTCTGACAGTTGCACACCGTGCAGAAAAATCTGGGATGTCAACCAGACAAAAAAAGTCCTTGAAACAGCTGCGAACCCTTCGGGCGAATGCGCGCGGCGATAAGGCGAGACCCTCATTTTGAAAAGGTACCGCTCTACATCCGTGAAGCTGTTCTAATGTTGTAAGACGCATGCGCGCGGCGTTTAGGCGAGAGCCGCATTTTGAAAACAACCCGTCCTTCATCTGGAAGCTGTTGCAGAGTCTGAGCTTACGGCTCATAAATGGTGAGGAAGTCTTAGGCGAACCGCCCGGCCCGCCCCACCGACACGTCTCGGGGTGCGAGAGGGAGGAGTTATTTATCAGTAAAAAGGATGGGGGAGGAGGAGGAGGAGGAGGAGGAGGAGGAGGAGGGGAAAGGAGGAGGAGGATCAGGAGGAGGAGGAGGAGGAGGAGGAGGGGAAAGGAGGGCGGAGGAGGACCTTCCCTTCGCCCCCCAAAGCGAGGCGGGAGCTCACGGCGGCGCCGCTGGCCTCCACCGCACGCACCGCCTCGCCGAGCAGCTGCGGCAGAGGCAGGAGCCGGCCTCCCTCGCGCCGAGCCCCGCGCCGACGGCGGCGCCGCCGCTCCTGGACGAGGCGCGGCGCGTCTTCTCGGCGACTGCACGGGGTGTGGTGACGCCATGGCGTGGTTTGCGATCGGCGCCGTTGGGGCCTGGGGGCACGACACTGTCCTCTTCGGGCCTCCTCGGGGCGCGGCGGAGAACTCTAGCTCAAGCAGTGGCGAAGCGTCCTGGCTTGCCTATAGGTCCAAAGAATGTTCCAATAACCCTTTGTGGCTTGCGCGAAGTGTCCTTAGAGCATTTCTGGCTGGGACTGTCTCGTTTCAATGCGTCGGGGTTATGTTCTAAGAACAATGTAATTGTGTTTAGAACATGTATTGGGAGCTAAGAACATCTCGTGGTAGGGCCCATAGGAATGCCCGGACAGTCGGTCTCTGCTCCATTTAGGGCCTGGTGGGCACGACACTGTTTTCGGGCCTCCTCGGGGCGCGGCGGAGATCTTCAGCGAGGTCCCCGCCCGCCCCCCACGGTGCCCCCAGGGGTGCCGGTTGCAAACCACACCCTCTGCGAACCACATCTTTCTGATCGCCGATCTTCGAGCAAGGGTCCACCTGCCTGCGTCTAGGCCTCCCGAATGGACTGGGGTCCGGGCAGATAGGAGTCGGTGGATCGCGCCGCATCGCCGGTGCATGGGCTGTGCGGCTCGATGTGGAGCCCGACTCTCTCCACGCCGACGTCGCAGATGCATTGGCGACGTCGCCGATGCATCGTCGATGCATCGGCGGCTCATCGGCGATACATCGGCGATGCGGTGCAATTCTCCGACCACATGTCCAAGGGCGGTGCACGAGGACCCCAAGTCGGCCCAAGGAGTCACTCAGTCGGCCCTCGAGGTTCCTACGAGGGCCCCAAGACGACCCAGATAGTAGTCCCCCAAGGCGGACTCCGAAAACGCCCAGATACTCAAGAGCGCTGTCAGACAGGTTCAAAGAGCTCCAAGAGCCTCCGAGGCGCCTCCAAGACGCTGCAAGGAGGCCTGATGAGTGGCCCCAGTGAGCCCCCCGAAGGACCTAACATGCCCCCAAGGCCTTCAAGAGGTCCGAGGTGTCACGTGACGGCCTCCCGTACCTCCTCGAATAGCCGCCGCCCAGAATGCTGGGCCGTCACGAATGCGGGACTTGCCGCAATCGAGGCCATCTTGGGCCGTCGTGGGGCCCTCTTGGGGTCCTCGTGGGCCGTCTTGAGGGCATCTTGAGGCTTCCTTGGCCGTCTTGAGCTGACAGAAGCTTGCAATGATGAAGAATACAGACATCCATCAAACACGACAGAAATGGTAGCCAGCGTGGACTCCAAACATGGTGCTTCTAGATGTCTACATGGCGCAATCTATGTTGTGCATTACATGTTATGCAGTCTCTGTAGTACAGCCTATGTGGTGCAATACTTCTTGTGTAGTATATGTGGGGCAGTCTGTGTGGTCAACATATGTAGGTGTGTGCACATACATCTACAGTTACATGTACATTTACATTTATATATATATATACATAGATGTGCTGTGTATTGGATGTTGTACATTTTACGTTGTGGAACACAGGCGGTGCAACATGTATTGTGAAGTGTATGTGGTACAACCTGCAGCGTGCCATTTATGTGGAGTAGCATCTGTGGTGCAACATGCTGTGCAATATATTTGGTGCAATCTATGTAATACATTTAATGTGGTGCAATTCACTTTGCAGAACTGGAGTCTGTCAATTCCTCTGATCCCGCAGCCAGGTTTGCAAAGCCAATGCGGCTGCGATTGCGATGACTGCTTGGCGCTGGCTGGTGCACCGCTGCGGCCACGCTAGCGCGCAGGCTCGCGCGCAGAGTGGTCATCTAGTCTGGCCCGACGGACGCGGCCGCGGTGGCGTTGAACGCTGGGGATGTCCGCGCGCATCTAGCAGGCCGCGCTGACGGCGGGCAGTCGATTGCAAGTCGGTGACCCGGGCGGGTGCGGTATTATGGCGACGTCGGCAATGGCAGACACGGTGAATAATATCGATGTTTGTGACGATGGTGGCGATGACGACGGCGAGGCCAATGACGGCGCCGATGTTGATCACGCCGATGACGATGATGGCGTCCACGCGTCGATGATGAAAGTTGTGGACAGATTTTGGCATGCGCGCGCGGCCGACGGACCCGAGTTGCCCGCATGGTGTTATTTGAACAGGAATCGTGCCTCCTCACCCCGGACCGCGCACGGGCGTTCGAATGATTTCGACATGCGCGCGCGAGAGGCCCGCTTGGGCGCATCTGATGAACATGTCGAGAATCTGACAGATCCCCCGCGAGTGGTCAAAAACGCGCAGATATTGCTGCTGGAAATCACGTTGCCAAACCATCGGGGTCCGTGTGTTCCCGGGGGCCTCAACGTTGGAGCTTACGAAACGTGGGGCTCTTGGAGGACTCCGGCATGTGGACTATGCGTATCGTTGCTCAGTGGATTTTTGACATTTCATGATTCGTAAAACAACAGCGCGCACAGAGTATTTGCTGACACGGATGAGTGGGAGGGGGGCGGCGATCAGCCCCCCCATGGAAGGCATGAGTTTGCATTGATAATGAACGACTGAAGTTGGTAGTTCAGAATGCTCGCCTAAATCAGCCAGCGACTTCAGAGGCAGTGCAGTTGTTCTGCTGGAAGCTGAGTATGTTAAGAAAAGGCTACAGTTCGATTGGCAATCGCGGATGACGAGCGGACGACGGCGAGGAAAATGGCTGCAAGAGAAAACGCATGCAGCGCACATTCGAACGCGCCCGAGCGGCCGCATCGATATCCGAGCAGAGGGCGGCGGCAGATTTTCCCAGAAGGGCAGCTCAGGCTGCCGCCGTCGCGCAGCACGAAAGGAAGAGAGCAAGCGCTGCAATCCAAGAGTCGCCCCCCCTCTGTGCAAACCGCCACCGATCAGGCGAAGAAATCAGGGATGCTATGATTGAACAGGAACGCGCCCAAAACAGGCGTGAATTTTCCAAACAACACCCGTTCGGGAGTGAACGGAACGGCAAGAGAAGCCGTCCGCGCCTCATGATCAACTCGCGGTGTCGGAGAACATTTTTGGCAACCCAAGATCCGGGGCCCCGTGTCGGGCAGACATTTGGGCTTGGCCATCGGCGTCGTTCCAGGAGCGATCGGGCCCCATTTCCGAGCGGCCCTACCCCTGCCCCGACCCAATCGGTTGGCAGCGGGGGCGGAGCAGTCCAGGGGGGGGGGCAGTGCCCCGCTGGAGAATTGTAATGCACGTTTGCTGCCTATGCGGGAGAGTTGTGTTCGGCGCGGCGCGCCGCGGCGCATCGCTCGCGTCAACATTGGCACCGAGCGACGTGCGCCTTACTCTCAGAGATAGGCGGGCGACGAGGCCGAGGCAGAAACGCCTGGAAGAAGAAGAAGGAGATTGTCTCGCCAGCTGGACATGGACACGCCGGCCGTCGCTTTCACTGAGGCACAAGAGGACGCGCTGGATCATGTTCTGAAGGAGAAGAAAGAGCTTAGGAGGATGAAACAGGAGGTTGCTCGGAAAACGCCGCAGTTCATGGCTACACCGTCGCAGGAACAAGAGGCCGAGGAGCGCGCGCCCCATGCCACTGTAGAGGGGGTGCTGGAGGGCACCCCCCACTGCCCCGCAGAGACGCCGTCGTCGCGGCCCCGGCGCATTCGCCTCGCCCTCTGGCGGTTCGACGCCCGGAAAAGCGAGCAGCATTTTGGCAGTCTCCCCCTCGTGCCCGGTCCAAAAGGGGAGCGATGGAGGAGGAGGTGGCGGCGGCCGCGACGATGGGGCTGACGGGGGCGAAGCAAATCGCAATTCCCTCCCTGGCCCCGGCGACGGCCCGCCCGTTTGGGGGCGGCGACGGGGGAGATCCGCCCCGGGCCCCACTTGGCCCTTTTCATCGTCGGCGACAGGCAAGTCGAGCAACCGAAGTAAGGTTGGGACCGCCAGAAGCCCTAACGAATGGAGAGCGCGGAAGTTGCGCGCGGCGCGCGTGATTTTTTCAGCTTCGCCCGACGTCGCTGGCGCCCTTCCCAGGATCATGGAAGCTGTGGACCACAGCGCTCGCGCTTAAGAGCTAGGGGATCCATGGCGTATCAGTCGCCTTGCCATGCTCATCGCATCAGCTCCGACGGAGAACTGCACCCAGGTGCGTCAGAGGAGGGGCCTGCCCATGCAGCATGTCCACCCGATTACCCAGATGGGGGGATGGAGCAAGATGCCCAGAACGATAGTCGACGGTTGAGGGGTGGAGATGATTTGCGCGACATGCGTTTGGGGTTCTATTTGCCCGGCACGTTCAGCAGTTCATGCGTCGCGACCTCCTTGAGCGCATTAGAAAGATGGCTGCGCGTCGTAAAATGCTTGGTTTTACATCGCCCTCTCCTAAGGTGGCCGCTACAGCCCGTGCGCGCGCCCACGAACCAATGGGGAATGTGCCCACGATAAAAACAGCGCTAGCCTGGCATGCTCTGTCCCGAGACGAAGTCGGAGACGGGATTTGCACTTCTGATTGGTTGTCTACCCAGATGCAGAAACGAATTGGCCGCGCGCGTGAGGACTTGAAATTTGACCTCCGAATATTCACGCTGAATCAGCGTGGGCAATGGTGGCGCAAGAAGGCCAGCGAAGCTGGGCCGCGGGCCGCCCCGGCCTTGGCTTCGCCGGCGACGGGGGCGGACCGCGCCCGGGATGGGCGCGCAGGAAGAACCCGCATGCAAATGGTCGGTGCAATGGAAATTGTACCCGAGACAAAACAAATGCTGCCCACGCATTCATAAGATGCCCATGGCTGCACCGCCCCAGCCCGCGCAGGCCCGGCAGACGCTGCCCCCTCGGGGGGCTCGGGGGATGGGGGTCGTTCCAGGAGAGATTGCGAGGGGCAGAGTCGATCCGCCGCCCCTGGGCCGCCCGATCCCAAGCTGCCCGAAACTGTCCGAAGCCCTGCGCGCCGCGAGCCCCGTTATCGGTAGCAGCGAGGGTTGACTGACGCTGAGAAGCCGTGGAGGGAGTCGCTGATAAAGGCAGGGGGAAGCCGCGGATT